CACCTTAGGAACGATTTTAGGTTGCACGGTGAGGTTGCCGGTTCACACAGAGCACTTTTAATAGCAGATAACTTACAGAACCAAGGGAATGAGCAGCTACCCTGGTCATCAAAATCGCCACATTTGAACCACATAGACAATATTTCGGTAGGCCATTACTCGCCGAATCAACTGCCTACATGTCCTACAACAAAACTGGACCAAATTGGACAATTTTAGACCGATGCCTAGAATATTATTCCCGATTGAACTCTAAAAACCTACCCCAAGGAATGCCTTGCCGCCCGAGAGAGCTGGCAACAGCCAGAAGAGGCCAGGCGTAACAGCCACCATTCTTGTGACTAGCAATTGACATGAGGGTCTTTTATGGAGCGTATAACTATTTTACAGAAGATAATTTGGAAAATATGGAGATCCAAAATATCTCTTTTAGTGGAAGTCGTATGGCATAGAATAGGCAATGTGTTTTTGTTTGCTTCTCTGGCGAATTCCATTAATGAACTGATGTCCCAATGACATCAAAGCGATAATTTAAAGTTATTAAAACACGATTTTAATCCTTATTTTTATTTATCAGTCAGCAAAATAGGAAAAAAACGATACAAAATTACTTGGAAAAAAATATTCCATATTAAATGTCAAGTCTGTATATTTTATGACAATGTTGTATTGTTCTATTCATGGACTTCTGCAAAAATTTGGTTATTCTACTTAAATGTGCAAGACATGCATTTTAATTTGTCAGAATAAACAGGAGTATGTCTTCAAAATAGCAATCTTGAACATGTAAACATGTGGAACGGTTTCCAACTTTAATATAAGGCTTTGTGTTATGCAATGCATGTTGTTGCTTACGACTCTCACATTTGAACTGTCTATATACATATCTTTAGGAAATGGATGATTTTGACACCACCATTGTGGGGCCTTGGATGAAGAAATGGAAGATAGTACATCACAACCGTCACACCAAAAACATATCTGAGGAAACTTTATCATCTTGGCACAATCATAGGCCAATCAAAGCTTAAGTTACTGTGAACCAATCTAAAAATGGTAAAAAATACAGTAAAAAATGATGATTAGTCAGAACTTCCACTGTAAAGTGAGCCCCTGTAATTTTTATCAGTCTAAGCAAAATAATTAATAGCCTTATATTTCAAAATTGGATAATAGCTACTCTTAGTTTACATTCAGACAATTTTTACATCGAGTGCTATACTCGAGGGATGTCCTTAGTATTTTTTGTACCCTTTCTGTATAAACCATATATATTAATATATGTTGGTTTTAATAGGTATGGATGCTATTTTAAAAGTATTATGTACAATACTATAAGGGTATAGTATATTGACTTTTACCTACATGGTATGGCATAATTTATTTTACAGAGATAATACAAGGCTAATATAATGGTCACAATATAATAATAATAATAATAATACATAAATATAACTTGAATTATGCCAAACATTCCCTCATATTGATGGACTACCCTGTATCATCATGATTTCAAAGCAAAATTTATTTAGTTTAACAATTAAGGTGACTAAGGATGCTTTTTGTCTTAAGTAATGTACACGTAATCTTATAGGCCTATAAACAACCAAATTAGTTTTTGTTATTTAATAATTTGGGTGCCAAAACATGCTTTCTATATTGTGTACATGCAGTATTTTTATAAACGATCATAAAAATAATTAAGATTTTGGAACAGAATGAACCAAAAGAATTGGCAACATTGTAAGGGTTTGAAATGTATTTTACTGGGCCCCATAGATACCATATTGTAGTATATGGTTATGGTATAAGTTCACAAGTTCTTGCTCTATGAGCAATTTTATTTGTAATTTCAATTCATTAAAAAATTGATACAGTTCTTTAACATACCATTATGTACTGGGCTGAAGAATATATTGGACAACAGGATTGCAAAGCACAAAATGTGCCAATAGCTTTTATGGAAAAAAACATTCTGCTTTTTCACTAGGCAACTGGTCTTAGCTAGTTTCAAGTAAAACTGTACCATCTTAAGGCAATAAACTTTCATTACTACAGCAAAAAATACAGTGTTTTAAAACAATTATAATTTGGCTATTATAGGGCAATAAATACTTCTACAAACCACAGAAAGAGCAAAATCTTGAGAAATAACTTGAAAAGAACATTGATTAGGTAAATAAATATGCAGAAAACCAACCTCTTTATTTAAAAATAAATATATGTATGACATATAAATACATAGTGACACATTTACTTGCTTCTAATGGGCCTTTTGAGAAATAGTATACATTGGTTATAGACAATCAAATATTGAAGCTATAAAATACAAATCTAGAACAGGTTACTCATGTAATCCAAAACAAAAAAATAAATGCTATTGTATGTCTGGAATTGTACCAAATGAAACCAACTCATCAAAATTGAATTAAAACAAAAATTTGGTTAGGAGTATTTCCATACTTTATTTTTTACAAATTAAAGACTACGGTACCCAAAAAGGTAGTCTGAGTAAAATACGTAAATGTGGGTGCAGTGTAGTGTCTGTTACAAATGTCTTACATAGTCAAATTTGTTAATAGCTTTATTTTACAAAGTTTAAAGTTCTATGAATTTTACTAATGTAGCTTTGGAAGTTATTTCCAGAAGCTTGATATAAATGGTGTATTTGAGATATTTGGTCTTGAAATATGCTGTTTGAGAATCGATGTGTAAAGCATGACGTTGAACTTTAAGTTCTTGTAAAGAACTGAGATATATTGAGAATGTTTGTTCTACTGCAAACCACAGTTACAGTGTGTTGTTGCGTATACAAGAATTATGTATCAGCTTTCTGAGTTTGTATCAGCTTCCCAACCTTCAGGTCTTTTTACCCGCTTCATAGTGTAATCATTAGATTTTTGGCTCACGTTCTCTGACAATCTCTGAAAACAAGAAAATGGTATGTTTAGAAAAAAGAAAGAACTTTTTTTAAATCAAGTAATCTGTTAAATATATATAAATGATATAAAGACTCAGTGCAGGTAAAAAGCACAAGGGGATATTTCCTTTTTAATCTAGACTTTCTGAGAATCAGACTTTAGACACCTGAAGATTTTGGATTTTTTGTCACAGATAAGGTAATTTCTTGTCAGATTCATACAAAGTATAAAATGAACATATCCATTATTTGAATATACATTCATCCACTTAGATAATGCAGAAATAAACCTTGTTATGTAATAAGATGCTGCCACATAAATAATAGCTTGAGGGGAATTTGCTTATTAGAGCTGATGACATAAAAGCAGCATTTTTGTAATGAAAATTGTGAACCTGAACTGTTATCACTAATCATCGGCATTTTAATGCCTTTTTAATCACAACTACAATGTATAAATATTACAGATTGTTGCCATGGAACCTTTTTGAAATGTTTACTTCTGATTTTACCAGGAGAGGCAAAATGGTGCCTTTCTTTGATAGAACATCCCTGTATGGGGCTCATATTTCATAAACAAAAAAATTTTAAAGCAAATGCTGGCAATGAATTGCATGCCTGAGTTGTCAACAATGGATACAAATTTTCATGATGACATTTGCTGAAGTTACATTGTACATTGCAAATACATCACTATCTTACGCCAAATAACAAAGCAGCTACCCAGCCAGCACACAAATATGGGGCCCAGATGAGTAGGTGGTGGGTTTATTGGGCAGATCTGGGCAGAGGTGATCTTATCTGGGTTCCTGATAGGCCTCATATGGGCTAGCCTATTTCATAAGTAATTTACATAAAGTAAATGGAGAAACAAAAGCTATTTTGACCAACTCAGGACATTTTAACAAATCTATCTTAATTATGGTCATAAAAAATTTGTATTAATGCGAGGGCTTGTTATATATATATATATATATATATATATATATATATATATATATATATATATATTATGATTTATTTCACTTAGCAAAACTTAATTTCAAACCATGTTACAACCAGAATAAAACTAAATGAGCTTTAGATCAAATGGGCTTAAAAAATCTTTGGAATTTTTTATTTCTTTCCCTGATTGTATTTTTACAAATTTTCCAGATTTCACCGATTAAAATGTTCTTATTTCAATGCCACCAACTCTAACAAAAAAGTATCACTAACAGTTATATTTACCCACTGTGTACCATAAACAAGCAACTCAAACCTTATTATCTTTAAAAAGAGTCATATTCCTTCCTTCTCTGTAACACCAACATCTTACTCAGGTAACTTCAATGACACATTCAACAGCAATATGCCCACCTGAAAAAATTCACTCTCCTCTTCCTCCTCCTCTTTTTCCTTCACTTCAGTTTTATTCATCACTCTTAACTTCTGGAGGACCACATGTTGTATTTGCTGCAAAAAAAAAAAAAATATATATATATATATATAATTGTCAAGTCCTTAAATCTTTATTGTTCTAGTAAAACTTGGAAAATTTTACAGAATGATGAATACAGTACAGTAGGAACATCTGTGGTACTGTTTATTCAGGAGACCATGGTGACAGTGACTCAATGAAAAAAAATCTGTAGCTGTCTCCTCATGGAACCAGCTGCACGATGACTGGCGATCTTAATCAATATACAAATAGATCTTCATTGTCAATGGCTATGGATATAAAAAATTAACTGAGTTTTACCAGCAAATATTTCTCTATAGCTATTGATACATGAAACTATGTGCTTATTGAAAAACCATAGTTAAAGAAACTGTTTACATTATCTCTGGTCTTTATCAAAATTTGACTGTATGAATAGCAGTAACTACTTTCCTTTTTTTGTCCGAAGTGAGAGTGGGGCACAGTCTTGGGAAGTTTGAGTACATATCCTTAAACACTTTTAACATGTAAATATTAACCTTAGATAACAAGTATGATTACTCTCAAACACCATGCATAAAAGAGATACAGCGTATCAATCCTAGAAATGCTCCTTACTGTTGCACTAAGTTTCCTACATTAGGGCCCTCATTCACAGTTTCTGTTGCGTGTTATTTGTGCAAATATTAGAAGGGGTGTCAATGCATTAAACTTTGCCAACCTTACCGGTTTCTGTTTTTTTCCTTTTTCCATGTCATCAGTCCGAAATCTCTTCTGAGTGAATAAAGTCATCACATATGATCCAACTGTTAATCCTCCCTAGAAATTTCAAGTAAATATCTTTCTGAATAAGCAATTACATTATTCCTACATATTACACCATATTTTATAAATAGAAGTTAGAGAGCCTTTAAATGTAAAAACATTTCTGTGCTCAATAAATTATTGTAAAATAGGGGGCGTCTCGATAGTCCGAAGGTTCATTGGTCCGAGGGTTCATTGGTCCGAAAAGTGGTAACATTTTTATCGATTTTTTAATCAAGGGTTCATTGGTCCGAAGGTTCTATAGTGAACATTCGGACCAATGAACCTTCGGACTATTGAACCTTCGGACTATCGCTACGGCCCCGTAAAATAATATGTATTCTGGAGATTTTCAAGTACTTTGCACATAATCAATGTAATTTATATTATGATTTGAAATTACTGGGTACTGTACTGTACTACATAATGATAATACGGTACCCTCCACCTGGGGTCATCACAGTCTTCTCCAGTACAGTACAAATTTGGACAAATGGCTTCTGTCCAATTCTTGGTTGGATAAAGATACTTAATTACTTACTCACTCAGTCCTGTTTAGAGACTAGTCTCACTAGAGTATAGTGCTTAGAGGGTAATGACTAGCATACAAAACAAGCAGATGGATATTACCTAACTTACAGCTGGTTGATTTTGCAATTACAGGAGTGTGCGGGTTGAGATGAGAATTGAAAGGGATCATAAAAATTTGAGAGCTCCCGCATCGCGGCTAGTTTGGAAACTTTTCTTCAATTTGAAGCCTTTTCCTTTCAAGCACTGCGTATGTCAATAGGAATGCTAACGCATGAATTTTGTGCTAGTAGTAGTACCTACCAAAAACAACGAGCCAAACCAAAAGTTTTTATTTCTCAACATGTATTTTATTCGCCAGAGCATCGATGGATAGTCGTCCATGTCACTTCTGTAAGGGAATGTCCCTCCGTAAATAGGCTATTCTTTGAATCTAGCTAATTTGTTTCATTAAAGCGCTAGTGTCTGTGTGTTGGTCGTTTCTCTACGACCTTCACACGAAATTGGGTCATTCAAGACAGACTAATTTGAAGTTTATTCGTTTCCATTTTTAACGCCTATTTCTATCTATAGATGATGAAAAAATATAATTGTGTGTTTTGCAGCTAAAATCCGCTAAAATATCCCTTCGTTATTCTCTTATGTCACACAAAGATGCACAGCTGTACGAGCTGGTTCAATGTGTTAGTTGAGAAAACCGGAACATCAATCGCGCTCTTCTCTACTGCAGTGGGAATCAACACCCGAACGCACGTGTGAGGCTAACAGGCATGGTATGGTCCAGTTTAGTTCATTTGAAGTATTCTTACGGTTTTTACGTTCTTTTTGTTATTCAGGGAAGTGGTGAAGCTATTGACTTTGAATCTGTTGTGCGGGAAAAGTAATTGATTCAAAACAATGAAAACTGTAAATGAAGCAAAGGCTAAAGTAATAAAGACAAAATCTTTTCTCTCTGGAGTGAATGATTTGAGTTCAGTGTTACTTGTACATAGTTAAGCTTGCATAAAGAGTATGGTTGTATGTTTCTTTTCCTCAGCCTAAGGCACCAAAGGCCAATATCCCAGGGCGCCAGAAACCCATCCACCCTCAAAGCAGGAAGGCAGCCCAGTTGGCCAGGCAAGCAAACCACGAACAGAGAGTTCACCGGGCTCATGGAGACCAGGCTACCAAACTGGAGGTCCTGGGAAACAAGCTACTGTGGTTCAAAGAGAACGTGGATCTCCAGAAGAAAGTGTACTCCAAGCTGGAACTTTGTTTGCTGGTTGAAGAGTATGTGGGGTTATTTTATTTTATAATTTTTATAGTTTAAATGTTGTTTATGCCTTTACAATTTATACTGCACTTGTCAAGTAGGATATGATGTGTGATGGAGTTAAATTCATGTGATGCATGCACTTTTGCTCAGGGAATAAGTTTGCCTGTATTCATAGAATGGTATTTTATTTTGTCTCTGCAGATATCTTCATAGATTTGATGAGGAAATGGAACAGATAGAGCTTATCAAGAATAGTCTTAAAACTCGTCAAGGGGGACAGCACATGTCAAGGGAGACTGCTATCAAGACAACTCTTGAGAGAGATAGGAGAGAGTATGAAGAAATGGGTATTGGTATGTATAGGGCATAGATAAACTTAATCACAACAGTTTTTGGGTAACTATCTCTATAGGTTTCATTTTGATGTATAAAATTTTAATTACATTGCCATTGGGGGAATTCCAAGCTAAAATTCACTTGGTTATTGTAGTTGTTCTTAACAAAGGTAAATTTTACTATGCGTGTTTGTGTCTGTCATAAGAGTAATATCATACAGGAAAGACTGTGCTGTGAGTTAATAGTCCTGGAATGATTTATCTTTTTTCTCTTTTTTTACTCAAAGGACATAATATAAATGTGTATGGTATACATTCGGTGGAATTTTACTTATTATTTACAGAAGTGCCAGATATCTTGAATGGAAAGAGACTGAAATATTTCAGGTGAGTTAATTTGATATTCTAAAAGATGCATTTACCGTGAATAGTATGTACACAGTGTTCATTCTAGGATGCGCCCTTGCGTCATTGACGCAGAAAAAATGTGGTTGACGCAAGTCGTAGAGTGAGCTGCGCCAACAAAATTCAAGAGAATTAACAGCAGCGCATTTTGGTGTTCTAAACGCGCCCTACAATTCAGCAAATTCACGGCCGAAGTTTGATTGTTTACTCGACTTCTCTTGACATCAAGATTTAATGTTAGACGTAACGAAGATATTCTTTACTCGTCGCAGTTTTAACAAAGATCTTAATTTATGCTGACGTCATGCGCTTTATGCAAATCAGTGGTGATCGCCCCCTCCTTTCTTGAATCCCTGATAGGCTGAGATTAATTGTCCATGTAGGTCAACTTGATCAACCCGTACATTGTGCATGATGGCGGAGAAAAAGCAAAATGGTATTTTAAGTTTTTTAAAGAAAATGGACCCCGAAGATCACTCTAAAACGGCTCAGAACAGTAGCGACAGAGATGATCATGATCATGCACAGCAGACATTCCCACCAGAAGAGAGAACAAAAGTTTATGCAGCCGTCACGACTGCTGATACCGCGTCGAATAGCAATGCAACTTCAAGGTCGTTTCAAAAATGGTGGAGAAATACTCACAAGTGGCTTGTACACGACGATAACGCAAACTTGGTGTATTGCAGCTTATGCATTGAAAAAAAAGGACAATATCTTCTTTCAAGGGACTAATAAATTTCGAACGAGTACCCTTATGCGGCATGAGACGTCCGCTGCCATGCAAGAAACGTCGGAAGCAGCTCAAGCTAAACAGGCTTTTTGCAGAGCTTTAGAAGGTAAGATATTATTTTTTGTCAATATTTATTTATAACACAGAGCAATAGACATCTAAGTGATTATCGTGACGGTCCCGGACCCACGTGTTGTAATTATATTTGTGCAGTTTGAGGAACTCTTGACAGTGCATTCTGGGGTATCGCAATGCTGAACTACTATGTAAACAATGTGTTTGCTGCGTCGCATTGACATAGGGCGTCAAACTCATGTTATTTCCCTGAACCTTATTTTTTGTATATATAGGAAAAATTTTTCACATTCATTTTTCATAATTTTATTGTGTTGAGAGATTTGGTCTCAGTTCATGGTGATTAAGGGAAAAATAAAGTAAGGGATAGTGTGCTGGAGTATTCTTTGTGGATACCTTCAACACTACTTCACATTTTATGCAGGTTTTTATGCCCAAATTCAAATTTAATTGTAACTTTTATAACATTTCTAGGTAAAGATGGAGCAATCATGGCAGTGGTGAAATCAGTTTACTGGATTGTTTAAGAGGACATTGCAATTCACAAGTTCGGAAGGACTTAAATGTTGTCTGGTATACCTGGCAGCTAAATTGAAGAATTTCTCCTGAAAGTGGGGAAAAGGTCATCGTAAATTCTCCAGGGACCACCTTGTGACTTGTGCTAATTATGAGAAACAGTGCAAGGCAATACAGTGTCAATTCATTGACAATCTCATTAACAACATCAAAAAAGGAACAATTCTCAAAGTGATTTTTAGTAAGACCTGTGTCTCTGCTGTCGAAATATGTGTTGAACTTGGTAATTGGTGAATAAATCGTGAACATATTTAGTGTTATCTTAAACTTGTTAACAAAAATTGGAGCGTCAACTCAAGGGTTTTGTTTTAAAAAATTGGGATTACTTATTGAATGTGATCACCTATAAGTCAAAATATTTTTATAAAAAATTTTTTTTCATCTCTGAACATAAATACCACAGCAGTAAAACAACATGCGTTACATATCATAATTTCAAGATTTGAACAAGGGCCCACTTTAAAATGTAATGACCCACTTTTTTTAATGTTGGGGGCCCTGTGTCCCACATTGAAACATTCCTAGAATGAACACTGTGTACAGTGCACTTCACAAAGCTTATAAAGCATACTAAGNACTTAATTTCATAAGTCATGAATGCATGCCAGTTAGTCAAGGGTCAATGATAATGGGACAGGACAGAAGAGGTAAAATTAAATGGATTTTTCATAAATTGAAGCCAAAAATGGGTTTAAAATGTCGTTATAGAAAGAACTTGGTTATTGGTGAATAAATCGTGAACATATTTTAGTGTTATCTTATACTTGTTAACAAAAATTGGAGCGTCAACTCAAGGGGTTTGTTTTAGAAAATTGGGATTACTTATGAATGTGATCACCTATTAGTCAAAATATTTTTATAATAATTTTTTTTCATCTCTGAACATAAATACCACAGCAGTAAAACAACATGCGTTACATATTATAATTTCAAGATTTGAACAAGGGCCCACTTTAAAATGTAATGGCCCACTTTTTTAAATGTTGGGGGCCCTTTGTCCCACATTGAAACATTCCTAGAATGAACACTGCTGACATCCACGTATCCTCAAAATTGTATATGTACATGCAAATGAAGACTTACCATTTCTTCCTGAGTATAATATTCACTTGCTATATTTGGAGCAGCTAGAGAAAGAGATTGCTGAAAAGAACATCAATAACAACAATTTACTCTTTTGTGCAGCAAAGCAATCAATCCAACTGTCAAACTGATATCACAAATAAAATTTGACGAGTTTGTTAAATTTTTTGTATGCTTGTTATGCTTGGAATATGTACTTTACTTGAAAACATTTACACCTGTGCAGTTATACCTACCCCTTGCTGACGAAGCTGTGCTCTAATTTTTTCCATGTTCTTCTCATGCTCTCCATCATATTTTCCACCAGAGCCTCAAAGAAAAAGTAATCATAAGTATTCATACTTTAAAATTTTGGATTTTAAACTATTGTTTAACTTTATAGATGAGAAACATTTTGGCAAAATCAAAAGAAATGGTAATACTCATCACTATTGACATGATATATTTTCATACATTCCTAAATAGATTTTGGGCATACTTCCCTTTTCAAATAAATCTTTGCGTCTTTTCTTGATTTTTATTTACTTACCAAGTGTGAAAGCATCCCTCTTTTCTCCATCAATTTCTTCGTCATATTTATCTAATATATTGGTAGTCTTCAACTGGAAGTTGAAAAAAAAAAAAAGGAAATGTCAAAGAATAACTACGGCCACTCTGAAATAATAGTGTACACAAGGGTTAATCAAAATGCACCTACTGCAACAATAACTGTACTGTGACATTTTGTCAAATACATTAGTACTCAATAATTTTCTTTCCTCTTTCACCCCATTTTTTTTTGTAATATTGTGTACTGTATTATATGTTATATATGTATGATTCTGAAAGTACTGTATAATAGTTGATAAGTTAACTTTTTTTTCTTGCTCATATCTTTTGGATAAATTTTAATAATACTTTTAGCACGTTTAGTATCAGTGTACGTTGTGTGAGGGTGTGTGAGAGAGCACATGATAATCTTCTTATATGATGAGCTTCTAACACAGTTATATGATCAGCTTCCAACACTTAAATGCACCTACTGTACAGAAACTGTTAAGAACCCATCTATTTGTCTCTCCTGTTTATTTGTCTCTATTTTTCCTTTCCCTTTCCTTATTTACTCTTTCTATAAGCATAAATTTCTCTTTGGTGATATTTTCTTACCATGCCATATTCATCATACTCTGGCTCATCCCAAGGCTTATAATCAGGTTTCTTCTTCTTATTTTCTACATTCTTTTTTGACCTTTCATCATCAACAATATTCACGTTCACAAGAGTATCACCTTCGTCATCTTCATCAAGTATGCCTATTTAATAAGAACAGAGATCACTTTATTCAGAATTACCAAACACATGGATCTTATGTTTAAGTGTCCATGAAAAAAACAGCCTCTAAACTATTTATAACTGCTTAGAAAAATACAAAAAAAGTACTATGAACATCTTGAGATCAGATTTCAGTGTAGATTTAAAAATTGATAATGAAACCTGCAATATAAATATATTTTTGAAACCTGGTCCACTACCTCAAATAATATGGACTTACCTTTGTCTTTTAATGTTAAAATAACAGCTTTTCCTTCTTTGAATGAACCCATTCCATGTTCAACCTTGATACCTTTGAGATCCCTGGATGTGTATTCCTGAGATACAAGATATTATGTTAAATGACAATAATGCAAAATGTAAGTTAACAGTGATTTAATATGACATTTTATTTACTTAAGCATTTTCATTTCAGTAAAGATGAAACATGCAATGAATTCATTACTGATGGTGCTAAAATATTCTGCAATATTGCTCTGCAAATTATGGTTTTTTCAGACTTTTAATAAACTAATCTATGAAAACTTCATAATCATGAAAATTACCTTTCCCTTGTTCATGAGAGGTGCAAACTCCTCTTCCACAAGGTTACCAATACCAAACTCTGCATCCATTTCTTCTAGCATCTTAGCCTGAATAACAAAATAGCATGGTCCATTAATTTTTAAGAGGACAATTTTCTTCACAAACCATAACATACAACATAATAATCATCAGAAGTAACTTTCTAACAATAATGATTTTTTTTTTACTTAATCTCAATATGTTTGTTGGGAAAAAAATCAGTTTTGAAAAATGCCAAAGGATAACCCCACATTGTATGTTGTATTGTGCAAATTGGTTAAATGTTTAATGTTATGTAAGACAAAAATTTATCATTAATCCTGTCTTATTATGTAGCTACCCTTTTCTCGGCCATCTTTTTTTCCTCTGCATCTTTCCTGTTTCTCTTAACCCAAGTGGCTGCAGATTCATCATCAGAGTCACTCTCCCCTAATGTTTTGACTTTTCTGCAATCAAAATTTGCCAAACAATAATGTTAATAATAATTTAACACATAGCATTACACAGACGTTAAAATGAAAAGCACTGGAATGAAATCATAGTTAACAGCTTCTGATTGATATGCAAATCACCATACCTGCTTTGATACATATTCCCTTTAAATGCATATACATAAAAAAGACTAATTTTACACAATTGTTCATGCCCATACAGCATTACATTTTTCTTAAATACAATCACGTCATAGATATATTTCTTAAATACAATCATGTGACAATCTAAAATAGCTCCTTAAAAAATCTAGCATCTTTAACACAACAACCAAAAACCTACCCTAACTGCATATTTATTCGCCTTTTTTCTTTAATGACAGCCAATTTCTCCTTCAATTTTTCTGTCATTTGGGCCTGTGCAATATTTCCAGCAGGTTTATGTATATCATCCTTAAGGGATTCTTTTTCCTCTGAAACAGCACAGTAACAAGCAAGCATTGACATGAACAACTAACACAAACAACTTTAAGACAAAATGACTTTGGGTAAAGAATTTTCAAAACTTCTTGAGTTAAGTTAAAATATCTTTGAAACACCAATTCCATGTATTTCTAAATTTTAAAGGAATACTAGTGCATACCTTTGGGTTCATTTTCATCTGGAACTTCCAAAGGCTTCAGGCCTAGTTTAGCTCTTAATTTACTGAAAATATTTCAACATGGATTGTTTAGGCTTTAATAGTTGTTATAATTAATTCAGTACAAGACTACAAACCTGCATCTATACAAACTTCAATACCAAATACAGTAATCCAGTATGTACAAACAGATCTCATCCCATTTTCTTAGTTGTTCAAAAATAGTTGACTCTTATTTCAAAATGTCATTTTTTAGGGCCCACAGACACCGTCTTTTGGAAGAGGGTCAGAATTTTTCAAGTTTACATTGACAGGCATTTAATTTTTCTGTCTGAAAATGGTCAAAAATGGAGGATGGATCATCAAAGATCATTTGAAAGACTGTCAGAAAATATTTCTGTACCTGCCCCTGATCTTCAAGAAGAAACAAGCTGCTTCTCACAAAGATGGTTTCACTGAGTACACATAAACATTTTTCAGAGTCAAAACAACATTTTAACAAACTTCATTTATTTGCTTCCACAGTTTAAATTTAAAAAAAGTATTCCAATGATCAATTTACTGATGTGAAGATTTTGAAAAAATACTTACTTTGTTTCTTCTATACTAAGAGAAATGTCGCCTCCGCTGCTTTTTGGCTTAATATCTAAAAAGGTATATTGTCAAGTATTAAATTAAAGACAACTCTAAATTTAAGATACTTGGGGAGAATGGCAAATTGTAACCATATCAATAGTCAGAAGGTTCTATAGCAGGCCCGTAGCCAGCAATTTCAGAGTGGGTGGGTCGTTTTCTGAAAAAGTGGACTTTTTACCATAAAATCCTCAAGTACCTAGGTCAAATTTTACCCAGAGTGGACCTTTTCCCAGCAAAAAGGGTGGTTCTTTCGAACCCCCCAAACCCCCCTGGCTAAGGGCCTGTAAAGTCCGAATGTTCTTTCATTGGTCTGGACATTTACTTTTGAGCCTTCGGACCACTGAACCCTTGATTAATAAAAACAATGAAAATGTAACCATTTTTCTGACTGACGAACCTTCGGACCAATGAACCTTTGCACTATCGAGACGCCCCCGGCAAAACTCCCTGATCCCAACATCAATGTACTTTTGTCTTATTTCTATTTATCTAACTATTTTCTACGATACCGACAAAAGAGTGAACAAACGTAAGAAAATAAGCTGTATACTGTGCTCACTGTAGACTTACACGGACGTAACATTCACTAAAAGTATGTATCGATGTGCTTCAGGAAGCATCTTATGTATCTTACCATCAGAGGGCTCTTCTTTAATCTTTAACTCTTCTTCATATATTTCAGATCTTCCCTCAACATCCTTGCTATACCCAGTTTCCTTGTCTCTGGAGTGAGATCGGTCCCGATGCCGCCGTTTCTTTTCTCTTGGAGAGCGCGACCTACTGCGAGATCGGTGCTTGTGTTTGCGCTTATGTTCACGCTCACGGTCTCTTTCTTTGTGTTTCTTTGAAGATCCCATGTTGATGAATGGTTATACGCTATAACACAAACATGCACCGATAAAATCTAAAGTTATAATGATCCAAATGCCCACAAAAACATGATTTTGAGTACCTACTGTGCAGCGTGCCCGTATCGTATAGTAGTGCCGCAGTTAATACGTCAGATTCGGACGTGCGTTTTCCCATTCGATAAATTCATCATACTTCATATTCTGCCTTTAATTATCAAAATCATATTGACAGTAATTCCTTATCCCTCGATTGTAGAAACAGACAGAATCTAGGTGTACACAAGGTATTTCTGCCCAGAAAATGTCCTTTCCATAATATTAATAGTAACAAAGACGACCCAACATCCAATCAAGTCTCTGTGGCGCAATCGGTTAGCGCGTTCGGCTGTTAACCGAAAGGTTGGTGGTTCGAGCCCACCCAGGGACGATTACTTTTCCTATTTGCTCAATTTATTTAACATATCAATTAACATAAACTCTTATTGAACACATTCATCTTAAAAATGATTATATATAACTATATATATTACCACCTCCATTGTTGTTCAATATGATGATATCCCTTCAAGTTAGGACCACAGAGATAGAAAAGTGTCTATATGAATTTATGTCCTACAGGGGTACAAGAAATGCCCCCTTCATATCGCAGATACTCAGGGAATAAAGTATACAACAGAATACATCTACCTCATCGATTACAAGAAAGCCTTCTACCATGTAAGACACAACATCTCTTCCAAAAGGCTAAAAGGCATCGACTATGACAAGGACTACTGAGTCATGTGTCATCTGAAAGAAAGGACGTAAACTCCCAAATGGCCTTACCAAATGGACTGAAATCAATCGTGGTGTGCGACAGGGGTGTGTGATGAGCCCTGACTTTCTCATTCTTTATACTGAGCACATACACAGAGGACACACAAGCCGGTGTTCTGATCAATGAAACCTTGAACATAGGCCTAATAACGTTATTATGTCCAAGATGAAACCCAGATCAACAATACCCGATACGCAGAACACAACGTGCATATAGCTGACAGCGAGGAAGGCCTCCAACGTCGCCGATAATTTGTTTGGGTTGCCTCTTTGAAAGGACTGGAGATCAACTGCAAGAATACCTTTGGTAATGGTTATCTCCAAAGAAAGTCAACCTCCAATATGCGCCCTAGCATCCCGATTAAGTCCATTCTTTCAAAAACCTCTAGTCAATATTGGCGGCGGAGGAAGGTGTGAGAAGAAATTCAGAAGACGCTCAGGAATGGCTTAACTACCTTCAATCATACGTCTGCAATATTTAAGGATCGGGGAATATTTGTGATGCTAAGCATCAAACTTCTCCCTTCAATCAAATGATCTGAAATATAAACAGGATTGGGGAATATCAATGATGCTAAAAATCAGACTTTTCAGATTGGGGAATATCAATGATGCTAAAAATCAGACTTTTCAGATGTTCTTTTATACGGTTGTGAAGCGTGGGCTATCAGATGCAACAACCAAAAACATAGGCCACAGAGATGTGGTTCTACCGTAGATTGCTACGCATCTCATATAATGCTCATTAAACTTCACAAGCGAGTTGGGCAAGACCAACAACTCCTTACGGTTATAAAGGAAAGACAGATAAATTTCACCTCCCATATCAGAAAAGGCCAACTAGAAGACTTCATCCTCGCTAGAAAGATTCCTGGGAAGAAAACTAGAGGCAGACAAAGACCCCATTCCCACAGATTTTAGATCGATCTATCCCTGTGGGGAGTTTGACTAGATTACTGTCAGCTTAGCCGGCTTAAGCATCTGTCCCTCCTACTAAAAGCTGTAAGAGGGTAATTAACTACCGTGCGCGCTCAGCTGACTGCAATTTAGCGTGAACCGACAGGGAGTTAGGTCGTTCTAAATCTAAATCTCTGGATCGATCTAAATCTCTGGGAGTGCACTCTAAGTCAACTAAAGAAAGACAGGAATGAACACACACAAAAAAAATATGGGACACAGCGAGGAATCGGGCGCTGAAACTGGTATCATAAGTCGTATTGACCATGGCACCAGAGATATATATATGTATAATCACCTGATAGTCAGTAACCGGTTTCTTTTACTATATTCACAAATATATCTAATAGGATCCACATATTTAGAATGTTAAACGAAAATTTTGTCCTAAAAATTTGAAAGAGAGAAAAGCAAACAGTGCCGTTATATGCCTACTGTCGTAAATTGATGTTTTATATGTTTTTGTACTTGTTCACAATGCAAGCGGTACCACTGAGACAGATAGGCCTGCAGCACTTTTAATATTCCATTTCATTTGCCGAGAGCGATTCCCACGTATGGGATACAGAGCATACAGTTTTTATTCAAGCAAGAAAACAGTGATACTTCTAAAATGATCCCAAATTTCAGAAAAGTGATGCGCTCTCAAGAGAAAAATATACACCGTTGTAGACTTGAAGCCATACTTCGAGTTCGGCGATTCTGCAGTTACCGCTTGGCAGCATTTGTAATTTTGTCAATTCTCCTTCAGGCTCTACTTATCTACAGTGATTCAGCAGGAAAAATAGAAATCGGCCAACAATTTGCTCATGTCGGGGAACGCATTTTTCTTGGTGCTTTAGACACGAAACTTTCATATGGTCAGTATTCTCGCCTTATGGTGTACAGGTTAGCTTACGAACCTCGTTCTGAATGGGTAGCTGTTTGCGATGGAGAGTCTTTCAAAACGCACGATTCAACGAAAATTGCTCTTCGACACGTCGAGATTTTTCAGACCCTAGGAGACACAAATGTTCATGTTATTCAAGCGGTTGTTGACGACAGATTGCGAAACGTGAAATTCATCCGTTTGCTTGCCGTGGGACTTATGCCAGGACCTGGTGAAGAGTTGTACTGCATGTATGATTGTCCGTCCCCGCCAGTGGAACGCTGCAGTGTGAAAGCTCAATACGCCATGCTAGCAGCTGGAAATCAATCGGACTATCCAAAATACGGTAAATATCGTTCCGTATGCTGCCTTCCAATATCAGTTAGACCTGTCTTCAGTATGTGCATTTTGACTAGAAAGATAAGAACGATAGCTATGTTGATGATGACGAAAGTTTCAGATTAAGGGTGCAAGGGGGAGGGGATTTAGGAGACCCCCCCCCCAAAAAAAAAATAATATATATATATATATATATATATATATATATTTCTTTTAGAGATTATTACAGAGTATAGCCATCTACGGTCACATGGTCCGAAGGCAAGCACAGATTTCAGAATAATTGCTTTAACTGCCGTTTTTGTGGTTAAATAAAATACATTATATTTCTACGAGTTGTTTACATTGTTTTTATTGTGAAATATAGATCTCATACAAAGAGTTGTTATCCCTTTAATTTGTTGAGACGCTTAGCATCCTCCTTCAAAATGTATAGACTGTGGATTGTCTGTTTAATTAGTTTCCGATCTGTACCAGCAAAAAAATGCTGGTGTTAACGAAAATTTAACAAGAGTTTCGAACGGTAACATATATTATCTTCATTATATTTTGTATATCTTACTTCAGAATGGAAGCGAAAATCGATGATGAATGTAAACGTGTTTGCCTGTCCCCTGCGCAACGAGGACAATCCCAAAGCTGTTACCATGGTAACACGGTCTTGTGGATACAGTCACAACATGGTGTCACTTAGCCACCTAGACCTTCTGGGTGTACAAGTACCTCAACGCGACGTAGCAGTGTGTGTGCATGTCGTCAACCAGTCCCTATTGCCCTCGGCGTACGAAGATCCTAACGCTCTGATCATGTGGGTTGAATACTTGACACTAATGGGAATCGATAAAATATTCATGTACCATGCTTACCTTGGTGAGAAAAATCAAAAAGTGGTGAAACAGTATAAAAATGAGCTGTTAAGCGATATCGAATTTACAGACTGGAATAATGTGACCAGGAACCTTGACCATGTGGTTGCTTCAGAGGCCGGCATAAACCATTGTCTCTACAAGAACCTGATGCTTTTTCACAACATTATTGTGATGACTGTTGAAGACTGGCTTATCCCGGGTGATGGGATAGCTAACATCAAACAGGTTGTCAGATCAACCGATTTCCACGAAGATATGGATAACAACATTGGATTTAGAATTCATTCAACTAAAATGGAAAGCAGAGAACATACATCAAAATCTTTTGTCGTGCGACCGAGAAAGGTTCTTGCCTTTTCTGCTAACCACTTCATTCCATTATCGGAGAAAGTTAGTTTTCAGTACCTAAAAAGTGGTTATTTTTCCATGACATCTTTTGAAGGGTTCCAAGCTCATTCAATGCTAGACCACATCCGGGCGCCTCTGGCAAAACAAGTGGCATACAGGTTAAAACGAAGCAGTGGTACCTAATTATTGACTGCTTCATTCAGGACACGAAAACCGCTGTCAGAACTTGTAAACGAAATCACCCGTGGCTGGCTGCATTCGGTTATTTCTAATGGCACACGAAAATAGCGATGTACTTTCATCAAATGTCCGAAATTTTGTTTACATATTAGAACACTAAATCAAGAAGATTAATTTAGCAAAGGGATATTGGCTGTAATTTCCATGAGGAAAATTTTTCCAACGAAAATATAATTTGATCAACGTGCCGAGGAAATGTTAATTAACGCGTTGTCAACTGACATTTACCTTATTAGAAAAGTTAAATAATTAATATTTGAGGTATTTAGGTAAAATAAATATGTATTTTACAAAATATACTTCTTTTCTATCAATAAATCCACATAATACGTTTGTATACTACATCGTTGTATCAGCTAAAATATGTTTATCACTATCTTTTCTTCATTTTGGGCTTTTTCATCTTAGGTTTTTTCATCTTTGGTTTCTTCATCTTCGGCTTTCCACCACCAGCTTTCTTTGATTTATTCCCTTTTTCCTTTTTCTCTTTTGCTTTTTTCTCTTTCCCCTTTTTGTCTTTTTTGTTATCACCCTTTCCTTTCTTTTCATCACGCTTGTCTGTCTTGCCATCTCCATCTGTAAAATTACACATATCTATTAGACTTAACAATACTACACTAATATCGATTTTGATCTTAATAGCGATACTTCTTGGTCGATGCCTAATGTCAATTTTCTATTTTGGATTCAAAGCAATAGAAGGATTTTTTTTACTTATCGTTCGGTCAAAAAAAATCCATTTCCAACCCTACATGACGAGTCTCTGGTCAGATTTTTTGAACATATAAATTAAGAAGTTATAGTAGTAGTTAAATTGATGTATACATGGCACACCTATTAGTCATATTCTGGTTTCCATCTTTTTGTATAGAAATCGCCTTCTTTGCCTTTATAACGAGTTGCAACATTTATGCGCGGTACGTTAAAATATATCAACTACTAGGCCTATAGTGTGCATTTTATTGTTCAAATATTTACGAGAAGAGTATCAACTTGCTAGGTTTTAGTGTTTGTGACGCTAGTTTAATGTTGTTATTTACCTTCTCCTCCACCTCCTCCAAAACCACCGGCGAAATCTTCAAACCCACCGCCGCCTCCGTCACCACCCATGCCTGCTTCTACATCTTGGTCTTGCACGTGTTTTCTTGGCATCATGTCAGGCTGGTTCTCGTCGAAGCATCTACAGGGCATGTACTCCATCAGCCAGCCGGGGGATTCGCCCATCGGGGTCCCCCACTTGTACGCGTTGTCTATGGAGGTTTGAAGATACCGTGTCAAAATCAGCACGACCCACTGAAAAAAATGTTGAAGCCAAAATGTCATTAATTTGCATTAAAGTGTTTTCAACAATTGGGGTAATGACAGAGAATCGCTGGTCTACTGACAGGGTAATTCCTGTACAATAATCGAGAGAATTTTTTCAAAGATCAATCAAAGTATATTCACGATGCTGAGCTCGTTATCTATTGCATTTCGGGGATACAAAAACGTTTGTTACCGTTTTCAAAGTGCTCGAGTCTACTGTAAGTATAAACCTGAAACAAGCATACTCCCCTTCTAAGACGATCAGATTTGTGATAACACTATGACAAAATGTGGAGCGTGAATAAAAAGAAGCACCGCTGCATACTCGTCATAAATATCTTATCATTTCAGCGTTCCGTTACCTCAATTGCAAATCCGACGAATACTGTTATCCCGCACGGTGTCAACACTACATTTTCAAAATATTCTATAAGCGCTTGACTGCAACCTTTCTCGTACAATGTTGTTTTTCTTCCAGTGGTTTCCTGGTGTTGAGCCACGTTATGGTGAACGCATGGCCCAAATGAGGCTGGGTTGCAACAACTGAAAGGCGCGCTGTCTGTATAAAAATGACCTTCTTTAAGTTTGCTAAAAGACACGAAAAAAATTTATAATGTATCAGAACAAGCTCAATCTAATAAACCAAGGAATGTTTCATATTATTATCTATAAAATGCCAATGTATAAATACTTTCATGTTTTTTCCAAGCGCATTGTTGTAGGCAAACAGATGGGCGGATGCAACAGTGATACAACAGTAATTTTCGTTCAAATGAGGTTAAATATAAATACTTTGAACAGTGTAACATAAACGATACTTGAAATTAACACAATTACTTTAATAAATTAGACCAAATAAAAAAGTACTACCTGGCAACTTTTGGGAGGTTTACATCCACATATTTATTATCGAACCAACTGACAGTAAACCATTCCCAATACCCTTTGCTTCCGCAACATTGATAATCCATCTGTAGTTCATCGATGGTCATTTTTAAAGAATGCACTGCTTTATATCGCATCATAGACTTCAAAAGACCCTTTTTAAATGCTTCCTCTAGATAACCTATGTAAATCAAACGTTATGAAAATCATTATTTATTTATTTCAAAGCCAAGGAAAAATAAGATAAAAATAGAATGCAAAAATAACCAATTACCAATCACCTCTGCATCGGTTCTAGTGTTACCTAACAACTAGGGATATGGGCTTTGTAATGACTTACGAAAGGTGCATTTCTTGGCAAAAAAAAACACAAGGCCGCCGTTTCCAGATTCATAGGATGGAATGTTAAGTTCACGTTTTCTTGATTTGATCTTTCTGTAACTCTTCTTCCAGAAAGACTTCAAAGCATTTATAGTGAAATTTTCTAGTTTAAGGTTTTAGTCACATTTATGATGGAAAAGGACTATTTAAGATTTCTTATTTTTCTTTTGTTTAAAGACATGGTTCGTGTTGTATCAGCAAAATCGTCAATGGCCTCGTGTGTATCAAGAATAGTTATTTGATACAAAAATCTACGATCCTTGTAAATCAAATATAATTTCATGATTATATTTCTAATAATGATGCTTCAAACCTACTGTGATCCCTTCAAAAATTATAAACAACTGGTTTGAAAGACCAATAAATTCAGGATCCAGGTAAAACTAGGAACTTAATTAATTTTAGAAGAATCCTTCTCTCATCTCTATAGCAGGTAATAATGCATGTCAATCGAAAAGAAATGAAAAAAAATATATATATAGATAAATCCAGATGCAAAGAAAACTTTTAAAACAATAACGATCTTGCTAGCACGGTCTACATGTATATAACTCCTAATATAGCCATATCCTGAGACATATCATAGTGACATCAGATACTTACCCCTGTGAGAAAAGCAGAGGCACGCTGCTGACATGACAACCCAACTTATAACGAATATTAACAGTATATAAAGAAGAAGAACACTCTGGAATCTCTCTCTAGTCTCGTAGGATCCGCAGTCGTAGCAAATTTTGGCACCAATGCCGTTTATGACGATCAGTATTGCCCCGACTGAAATCAGCATGTATGGCAAAGTGCCTGGATTGTAATCTTCAAGGACAACCAGGCGGGATTCAATGCGATCCTTGATGTATATTCCCATAACGATCATCACAGTTCCAAAAAATGCCATAAACCCGTTGACAACAGCAAGAATCGTGCCTAGTCTTACACGGCCTTCTTCCGATATGCGAAAAGCTAAGACCGCCATGTCAGGAAGTTCCCATTAGACAGTCCAGTGAAATATTTTCTTAATGCATATGGATGAGATTTTCTCCATTCTTTCGCTTTTTCGGAAAAAATACTGTTTAAACAGCAGAGCAGTTAAGTATAGGAATCAGATTAAGACTCCAAATACACTTCCAATGACAACTGTTTGTGTATTGTTGTTGTTAGGTAACGTTTGGTGACAGTTTCGTCACTACTCACAGACGTCCTCGCGCTGACGCTGAGACGTCCGATTTTTATGACGTCATGTATGTCTTTATGAATAAGATAGCATTATCATCTTAGAAACCGCCAGCACAGACAACATATTATGGAACGACATGCTACAGGTGTCATAATGGGGGCATTGCACAGTAAAACAAATCTGAAGAGGAACAAAGCACGAATAGTTATAAACTCGCCAATCCAATCATCAACTACCTTGGACGTTGAAAACGAAGAATTATCTCAAAAAGGGAAAGCGTGTGACAAGGTGATAGATATCGACAAACCAAAAATGAAAATTGGAGTTTTACCTCCCGGAAGTAACAGCATTGACTCTGTAAACACTAACGTTCTTGTAAACAAGTCAAGTAAAAAGAAAAAGTATTGAATTTACAAGAGTGAACGGATGTGCAAATGCCAAAAACTTGGATATTTCTTTTTTTTAAATATTTTTATTTGTAATTTTTTATTTTCATCATTTTGTCAAACAGACAGTGGCAGGGGACAAAATGTTAACTAAAACACTGCAGTAAAGTCATTATTACAAAGACCATAGGCCTACTACAACAGCGCTTTACACAGCAAGTAATGAATTAGTGTTTATTAGACAAATTTCAATTATAGGGAGATCAGAGCTGGGAATCATATCGATCATTCGCTGGTCAGAGCCAGTTGGCCCCATTTTGAACTTTCAGCGTCATGTGGAAAATTCTTGAAGATTTAGATGTGTAGTTTTTACTCAAAAAGGAACATCGATGCTTTGCCTACATTTGAAATAACAGTAAATATAAGACCTAGATGATAAGTAATATTGCCGATAGTTGATCCGCTGTCAATAATAATAATAAGAACTTAATTATTTAGCAAAATTGCAACGCAAAGGTGCTTGTTGTACAATGTTAAAAGAAAATATTTGTAGTTTATAAATAACATTAAATTCGGTAAGCGGTAAAACTTAATTGTTTGTAATACACATGAAAGAGACTTGCAATAAAACGAGAGAACTTTGTAGGAGAATACTTAAAACATCCAGTGTTGACTACTGAAACTCGAAAGTTGCTGTTACCTCTTAATGGTCGTAACTCTTTTTTTTCAATTCAACACTTTCCTGAATTTGGACATAAAACAGAGCAATGGTGTGCAGGACAAAATGAGAAAACAAAGACGAAAGTCAAGTGAATTAACAAAAGATTGTGCATTTTCTCAAAAGAAAATCAAGACAAACCAACACAAAGATGAAAAACGTATGACACAGTTTAACTTCCTATGTAAATGAATTGTCCACATCAGTTACGTCGATGTTCCACATACCGTTTGCTTCAAATATTTGCTCATCCATACTCACCACTACTTTTTCAAAGGAACAGCAGCATTCCAAATCTGAAAAGGATATAGGACTATAACATATGTTGCCTGTGGTGCAGGGATTGAAATGCAATCGTTGTGCCGTTTCACTGCATGCAAGAGTACTCACTCACTTTGGCGAAAATCCGAAAAAATATCTCAGATGCACCATGGACCTGGAGGATCAGAGAGGATATACCGCCTCCGGGTATTGTACCACCAGCTGGAGTAAGCTTATTCGTATGGAAAACAAAAAAGGGGGTCACCTCCTGTTGTGCTTGAAAAGCTCTATAAAATGCAGTAAACAAAAATTCTCAATATTTTTTGTTGAAAAATACCATTTAAAAAAAAATCTAGGCGAAAAATAAGTTTAAATCCAAATTTGTGAAGAGCAGTTCATGGCGAAAAAAAAGCCAAAGATCAATTTCAAGATCATACTTAGATTCCCAGTACATGACTACCCATTCCTGTTCAAGAGTAACTATGGGCCTATCTCTGCCGGTTTTGAAGATGCAAGGGATAGAAAGTTGCCAAGTTCAATTCATGGTGAAAAGTAGGTCAAAGGTCAATTTCAAGGTCAGCTAAATAACCAGTATATGACTTCCTATTCAAGTACAATAGTAACTATGCGTGTATCTTTGCTAGTTTAGAAGTTACAGTAACGTGCCATGAATTTCGTACAGAAAAAATAAACTGAAATAGCAAAAAGATCGTTTTGGTCGAAATTCACGAAATGGGAGGTGCTCAGAATTTTTAAATGTTCGACTTTCATAAATTTCTGTCATTTTTGTCAGGAAGTTGTCTGTCTCTCGGTAAGTCTTATGTTTTTTGTTGTTTTTTTCTGACGTTCGAAATGTATGGTACATTACCGTGTTTCATATTTCATTTTCACCACCTCGTATTTTTTTATATAGCGCAACTCGTAAATCCAATGGAAAACAAAAAAAAAAATAAAATGGACACCACCTTCTGTGTTGATCTTGACAAGCTCTATAAATTGCAAAAAACAAGAGGTATCTAGCATTTACGGTTCCAGAATTAGAGAGAATATTCAGTTTTGGCTTTTAATGGCTGTGAAAATGCATCGATTTTCCAACTCAAGGAGGTGAAAGATGACCCTAAGGGTAACACTTGCCCATAAATTATATAGTTATAAGTAAGGTCTGTGTAGTTTCTGAAAATCGGTTCAAATAAAAATTTTATTCGCAAAAAATCCCTACTTTCACAAAAATTTTGGCCCGTTTAACTTTGAATTAAAGGTCAAAGGCCAAATCCAATGGTACATTTGAAATCTCCACATGACTTTCGGTCAGCCATCCATAGAATTTTTTCTCATAATTCCTTCGGTTTGGGAGATACTTAGCATTTAATTTGGCAAATTTTGGACAAGGGTGCTTTGCGACGAGCGCCATACCTAGACCTGTGCACCAACAAAGCCCATAATTTACGTGGTACGAGTTGAGATTACATGTGACCTAAATCCAAGAGATGGGTGCACAGGCTCTTGTAGTCTAGGAGGAGAAGTGGTAACGGTGACATGGCGGCGGAGCCGGCCGATACGGCGGACGAGAAGAATCGGAAATAAAATCATGTGTACCGCCAACGCCTACACTGGTGGTACAAATATATCGTAGACTACGGTTTATTTCCATGGTTTGATACAGTCATCTCTTGAGAATTATATTAGACAAGGGGGGAATTGTAAGCGTCTCGAAATATTGGACAGGTTATTAGGTACATGTACCTACCGTCACTCTCGTGCAGTATGTTTTGAATTTGTTGTTTTTCAGTTCTAAATCTACCATGCATTTTACCATGGAAATACATCTTGATATACTTCCATGATTTTACCAAGCAAAACGATAAATACTAATAGATATAATTGAATACGTTACATTTTATTATTATTTAGGACCCAAAATATCTCTAACTTCTGTCCTAAATTGTATAGATGTGCATGACCTATATACCATGACAATAAATTAACATATGGATCAATTAATAATTAAATATAAGCTCTCAATTCACTTTTTGGTTTTCGATTACTTGTAGGCCTAATCGGTCTAAAACATTGGCGAAAGCGGGAGTCACATTGAGTGCAAGTACACTCGAATGACCGAGCGGCGCCATAGACTGAGAAATACCAAGTTAGATACTTGAGCGAAGTTAGCTATTATTGAGGGGGGAGGAAAAAGACGCCCTTAAAGCTTAGGTCCCTACTACGTTTTTGACGCACGGTTTATAGGTTCCGGCTAGAACGTAGCTAGATCGCATTAAAGGAATCAAGTAATTGGCGTTGATCATGTCGAAAAGTTTCTACGTGCTGTTTGCGTCCTACTTAAAGACGCACGATGGACGTGCTCCTCACACGTTTTCCCCATTTTCTTTTGGCCGTAGACCACACGTAGCAGCCCGTACGTTCGGTTGGGACCTAGGCTTCAATGGGGACGCCAAATAGGATACTCAAGCGAAGAAAGCAGTTATTGAAGGTGTGGTAAATAACGACGCTGTCGCGTAGGGGAGGGAGGCGATGGGTTAATATAAAGTTTCTTACCTTGTGCCGGTCTTACGATTCTTTTGATACGAAAGTATTCTTGTAGTCTAATAACTGCGTCTCTGCAATCCGCTTGCCTGAAAGGATCTGACTTTGTCGCGTGCAGTGGTCACGTTGTGTTTAGGAAGTTGAGCCGTGATTGGTCAGTAATACCCAGTCTAACGTAATAAGTGTGCTAGGCGCACTGAGTGGCGACCGTATGTCTGGTGACCACCTGTGTGCTGAGAGAGAGAGAGAGGGGGGGGGGCTTTGAATGTAAAAACATTTCAGTGCCAAATAAATAATAATAATCATTATTATTTTTATAAATGAAACTATAATATAAAATTCGTTAAGTTTGTATTTGTAGTTGCAAAGCCAGAAAGAAATTATTTGCTCGGTTCAATAACTAAACTGTGATGTTGGTGGCGAGAGCGGGAGTCACCCTGAGTTGCTCGCGCAGGAACACTTGATGACCGAGCGTGGAGAGACCAGGAGTCACCCTGAGTTGCTCAAGCAGGAATACTTGATGACCGAGCGTGGCGAGAGCGGGAGTCACCCTGAGTTGCTCAAGCAGCAACATCTGATGACCGAGCAAAGCTATATAGGCAAACCAACTTTTAAGAACATTCTGTTCAAAGTTATCTTGCAGTACCCTTGGATTTCGCATTACCCAAGTATCATTTTAACTGCATTATAACATTGTTGCGTTGTCGTTATTTGACATCTGCTGACATTATATTATTAACTTCAGTTGTTAAGCATAGTTGCATTATTGTTGCATTATAACATGTGTGAGCAGTAAATTTTTCCAAACCCTTGAGAATCTGGGAAAATTAATGACTAGTAACAAAATATTTCACGCTGCACTTGTTTTAGTTGTTCACCTTTTACAATCCCACGTCACCGAAATGAAACGGCAGAGGGTATGCTAAAATGTGGAGTTATCTCTCAAGCTCAGGGTGCCTCACGTGGGAAGGCGAAATATCACAAAATTTATGGTAACCGAGATGTACATGTAATGTCAAATCCAGAATTGTCTCTCGAGTTTAGCCTCCTCCCCAGTACAAATTGCAAACCGGACGAATTCACGGACCAATTGTGTTCTAAGTAAAATGCACCCTATAGTCTACTAGTTACAATACGGTTTGCATTCTGTATCAGAACGTGATTACCTTTGAGTAACTTTGACGTCGTCTCATCAAATCCAATTGTGTGTCTGTGTAATCAACTTGCGATGTGTTTTTACTTTGTCCTTAGGATATGTGGAGTAATCGAAACAATGTTTTCATCACTCCTGGTTTAGCTGTTGATATCTGTATGCATATATGGATTTAGGCCTACTCTGTCCATATGGATTGTTGTGATATATATATATGGGGGGGGGGGGGGTCTCTCTTAATTAGGCCGCATTCAGAACAGTGTACCAACTAGTTCGAGGGTTAAATATGACCGACCCATTTGAATAGGCCTACTTCCCCACAGGGAATCTATTCAGTGTCTATTAGTGGATTAGACGGCAAGCTTTTTAGTGGGTCGCCATATTTGACCCTTGGACTAGTTAGTCCACTGTTCTGAATGCGAGCTAACAGATCCACGGAAAAATATGGCCATCTGGCTTGCTGTGATATATGGAGGGGGGGGGGTCTTTCTTAGGTCGCAATCAGAACAAGTTGATCCGAGGACTAGAGTCTAATTAGGCCGCATTCAGAACAGTGTACTAACTAGTACGAGGGTCAAATATCGGTCGGCCATATTTAGTCTGCAGAACAACAAAGCTGTCCACCATTATGCCTACTCTCTACCAGAGTCCAGCTGGGTGACGACGTTTTTTTTTTTTTTTTAATTCAAATTTTTTTTTACAGAAAACTGTCTACTGAACTTTTTAGATGGATTTTAGACATAATTAATTATTTATTATTAACACAAGTGCAAAGAAATAGCCACAACTAGTAAAAAAAGTGCAGAAATATAGCCAGAGACATATCTATGGGTATTACTGTATGAATGACATATGTGAAGCACAAGTACTAGAGGGAACGGCATTATCATTGAATGAACATGCTGGAAATTGGTATCTTACGTACCCTTAATGGTCTCTCTCTCTCACACACACACACACGCGCGCGCGCGCGCGCGCGCGCACGCACGCGCACACACACACAAAGAAAATGAGAGAGAAATCCGCCTGAGAAACAAATACACATGCACTCTAAATGACTTTGATATAGCGATTCCCAGCGAACCTGGTTTATGATAGGACATTAAACGAAATGGCTGTCCTCAGTGGTGTCGTTAGAGATAACAGCTCCTAATTACAGCCAAGAAGATTCAGTGATTGAAACCTAGGATTCATCAAGCTAGTCCGGTACATGTACAAAAACCAGATATGCCTCTGGAAGAAATGAGGTTACACGAATAAAAAAGGACTACACAGTTTCACGTGGACTTTCCAAGCTGAATGGTTTTTTAAAATTGCCTGTGGGACCTTCAGATCTTACATAGAATGCATATCATGACTTCGTCTTTGGTAGCCGGTGGAGATTTTTTATTCACGAATCAAATATCCGGTATTCCACGTTATATCTTCAATAATCAGAGGAGCGTGACGTGGTGCTTTCCGATAGCGTAGCTATAACTTGGTGCACCAAGCATGCTCAAGAATTATTCATGCACAGACCAGATTTGTAAATAACTTGACTCACTTTGTGTTTACTGTCGAAACTTTTTTTATTTATTCATTTATTTTTTATTTTTATGTGTAGTTGTTTAGTTTTATTGTTATTATGATTATCATTATGAGTATCATTATGATCAGGGAATTATATCCCATATAATTCCCTGTTATGATTTATATTTATTCATTTAGATTTTTCCGTGCCAAATTCCAAATACAAGTGCGTTCTTTTAAAAAAAAAAGAACAACTAACTATTTACAGTGTTATGTGCTAAGAATTCTTAGTATGATCAATAAGGGGGGGGGGGATAATTTATACTACTTGTGCACCAATCGCTTCTCCCTCCACTACATGTCTTTGTGGAATGTGTATTATTATAATATATTAAACCGCCTGTATCTCAGATTTGATTTCTCCAGCATAATAAGCAAACAATATACATATAGAAACATAATCGTCAATAATGGATGCTGTTCACTTCACGCTGCAAAGATAATATTTTGTGTGCGTGGGAGGATGTTCTAGGGAGCCTAGTCTGGGTATAGATCCTATGGGAACGCCGAGTTTTGCTGTCTGCCAGGACCACAGCATCGATCGAAAATGATCTCAGATTATATAAGGCTGTCTAAATCAGTTTCACAAATGCGTGATGTTATCTGCTTCAAACCACTATTGAATAAAAGACAAGTAACCTCAAAACGGCAAATAACCGTTTGTGTAACCAATCCAATCTGTTCTAAATAAATATATACTGTTCAATACAGGACACTCCGACAGAGACGACGCTGATATTGAGACGCTTGGTACATGTGCATATCTTTACATTTGGTATATGTTGATCTTACGTCTTTGGAGAGAATGACGCGCGGAAACAGCGATAAACCTCCAACACAGTACCCCAAGCTTGTAATTAACACAAAGGGATCATAAAAGATCATGACACGGGAACTCCCTCGCTACCCATGCCCTCCTCATCTCCCACGTCAACAGCGTCAATGGCCTCGGCGCTTTCTTTAAATCTATGCAAAATTTAGCCGAGGCGCAAAAAAGTCAACGTACTTCGTTCGAGCTGTGGGAGCACAAATTGATGTAATGCAGACTTAAGTGCGCCTGAAATTGTTATTTTGCCGAGCAAAGCTAATTCCGTGTTCCCAAATGAACACAAGTGTTTCCGCCGCTTGCAGTTCATAGCACAGACGCTATATTTAGCGCGTGGAGTACTCGAAGCCTGCGGTAAGATTCTTGTGCAGTGTATGAATTAAATAGTAGGAGAAACGAGAGGTAAGATTCAGTCTGTGGAGCCAGTAGTTTCACTAGAGTTCCACAGGTAGCTTGTTTATCGAAATGAGCTCTAACGAACTTCTAATGAGTACTTGGATCGACAAGATGCTGCTCCGGAGGTAATTGTTGTACTAGCACAGGTGTAGCAGACAAGGTGAGTTTGGCTGGATCGATCTGACGTTCATTCTTCGCGTTGCCCAGGTACATGTATCTTGCGTGATAACAACGTTGGGATAGAGCTTGTGACATCTATTAAAAAGCATTAGAATACACATTTACTTTGAAATACCATTGTTCGTTGCAAGGGTTCTTGCCATGGCCTCTGTCCGTGAAGTGGATAGCGATGTTGATCTTCACAATGTAACGGCGCTCTATAAGCTAGATTACTGTAGCTTTCACATTTTCCCACCGGGGGTCTTGTTTTCCTGCTTCGTTAAACCAAGGAGTTATAACAGAGTATAAGGAGTAATATCTGTTATAACTCCTTGGTTAAACTAACTGTAAACGCTAACTTAACGTCAAATGAGATTCTAATTCACCCAACCAGGATGACATGATGAACGCGTGATCAAATTAATTCATAATGAAAGTGATTTGCGTGTAATTGTCAAGCCGCCCAGAAAAATTGTTGTTGGAAAGGTGATATGTTGAAAATAATTTAAAGACCGTTCTAACTTTATAGTGGCGATCAAATATATATACAGAAAGGAACTGGAGTATTTGAGGGTGCACGCATTGTTCTTGAATACGTTGTACACTTCTTACATTAAATTCATGTCATCATTACTGAAAGATGATGTTTTAAATGCCACGGGAAAATAAAGATATCCCATAAATGCATTATAGGCACATTCTTTACGAATCCTAAAAACGTTTGTCATGCAATGATTCCCTTGACACCACTCTGTCTCAACCTAAATATAAAATGTAGATCAATCATCCGCTAGGCTAGAGGTGACTGAAAAGTTAAACCATGCAATTATGAAATGCTAGACGTAAAAGTGCTTGTTAAGCTGACCACTGACAGGCGATAATCTTGGATATATCGGACCAGTGATCTTATCGGGCCTCAATCATGATGGTATTCTTGTTTGCGCACGTCTTTTATCATTAAATATAAATCAGTAATATGCTGCCTGCTAAGCGGCAAGCGAACACTTAACTGTGATATGTGAAAAAAACAATGGTAAAGATCTTGAGAAGTCTCTTCTTGAACATCCAAATACATTCAGATCTGAAGCCAGCAATTTCTAAACGGATTCTTTTTCTGAAGAAGTGGACCTTTTACCATGACTCACGTGCTTAGATAAAATTAGATAAAATTAGATAAAATTATCCAGAGGGGACCTTTTCCTGGCGAAAAGGGGGGGGGGGTCTTTGGAAACCGCTGAACCCCTCTGGCTTGCTATTTCCAGGTGTATGACCAGTTCCAGGCCGCTGAAAGTCTCCGAAGATTAACGTGAATGCCATAGCGTTAGACACGTCTAAATATCATTATCAAATTTAGTTAGCAAGTACTGATCAACGCGACTCATATTTAATGAAAATATGGCAGTCTACCGAACCAAAGAGATATCTACAACAGATAAGACGGAGGGGCCGTTTTTCTACAAAAAAAGGCCGATTTTTTTCTTTCTCTTTTTTTTTCTTTTTTGAACAAAGGAAAAAACAGATCTGTATCAGCATGTACACAGTATAAACTCCGTTTCTACATTTAAACAGACTCATAAAATAGCTTGTGAACCGAGTAAATACATTACCGGGATCAGAGAAGCATGTATATATAGGCTTGTGCGGGCAACCGGTGAATAATAAATCAATCAAATGTAACACAGTTTCAAGTGAAAAGAGAACAATTAAATGAAGCAAGGATGCTACATGTTGGCCTACACTTCCTCTAATGTGCGAGAACAACAATATTTCATGTCCAAACTGCTTCTATTTCTAGATCCGAGAAATGGCAAATTCGCCCAAAGAACTGAAATCATAAATGTTGAGGGGGAATGTGGTATAGGGGAATGGCAATGCAGTGCAGGTGAGAGCTCCTTCCCCCGAGGTTCATCCCAGCGAGTAATTGTATTATTTAGTGAACGCATTCAACGGTGCTGCTTTTGATGAGAAACCTCTGTACTTTATGTAATGGTTTCACATATTTGTTACATTTAATCAACTAAGGTTTTGGATACAGTAAAGACTATTGTATTAAACTTCACCAGGGATGCAGCAAGCTTGTTCTGGCAAGTGGCAACTGGTATCTTAATTATTATTTTTGGCAAAAAACCTGTTTGAGTTACTTATAAATTGAGATTTGTCTGCCGTTCAAGCACTGCAGCAGCAAACGGCGGAGACAACAATCCAGCAACAGTAAGCGTTTTGACTCACAGAATATTTCAGGTAGTGAAAAAGGCTTGGGCAGAGGCTGGGAGTTCTGTTCACAGTTGACTCTGTTTAGGTAGGATTGTGACGATCTCCTCGCAGACGGGATTTCTTATAGGATGTATGTACCCTCTACCAGGGTCGCATTATTATTGTGGACATTTTTGGCTGAAATGACCTCAGACCAAAATGACTGTCTATTTATCTAGATACATATCTGTGAATATCTGTGGAAAATCAATCTGTCGCCCTGGTAGAGGGTAGGATGTATGTAGTAGCATGCGGAGCGGTATGAAATTTGTGTGCTTTCAAAGTTCTTGATCATTGAATGATCATTTGGCCATTTTGAATGTATCTACTATGTCACTCTGCATAAACGAAGAGAAGATCAAATGCATGCATTTTCAAGCCCAGTGCCACATGCTAGGCCTAACCTAAGCATCGGTCTTGTCAGGTATAAATCCTCGGAAGAGTTAAAAATGATACCACATAATATCGTTGATGCAGGCAAGTTAACGTGTTTTCAATTAAAGGAGATATTTTTACACGAGAAACATATATGATCGACATACATCGGAAGAAATAGTCTAAGATACAACTTTTGAACACGCTCACGCTCTCTCTCTCTCTTTCTCTCTCGCACACACACACACACACATACGTTTATATTTAGGTTTATTTCTACCCTTTCAACTTCTGTGTCTCTCTTACATTTGTGATATTTATTTTAGCAAGAAGATGACTCGACATGGGGCCTTAAATGTAGGTATGACGTTAGTGTTTAAGGCTAAAAGTTTGAGTTCATTTTGGAGGATTTGCAAACTGCCCCCCCCCCCCCCAGTCCGCGAAGCATGTTTTTCCCATTTAACGCATTTTTGCCCCTGAACTGAAAAGGTTTGCAAAAAGTATATTATATAACAAAACCTACTTCTTTGAAATACAGGAAATAGATATAACCAAATCAGGCAAATCAAAATTGCAAAATCCATAACATGCCATAAAAACGTAGTATTTTGTCTCGGGAAATAATGAAAGTCTATGGAACCTAATCAAATAACTGTACCCTTTAGAACTGCTTTGCCTTTTGACATTAAAGGGCTATGTTTCCCTGCAATCTTTTATATAAAAAGTCCTTTTAAAAGTGATCTTATTTCCCTGTGGGTAGCGGAATGAAGAACGTGTATTATATGCCCTTGGAACGTTTGTTTAAATGCCCCAAGTGGATATTTCATGCAGTGGGTTTGGTAACCTTTTTTTAATGTTGTTTTGCCCTGCCCTTCCATCTAGGGGAATTCTATGTCTGGCACAAAGAGAAAGATCTGGTCTGGTTGAGGTTAGTTAACCCCGAAATTCAAAGGATAATGAAAGCTCACCTCACCTCACCATCAGCCTGCTTCTGTCGTTTCCAGAGGCATAATAACAGAACATAGGTGAGGTTCCAGTGACCCCTAATATAAAACTAAGCTGTCTATGTGGTTAGGTGGCACCGAAAAATCTACCAACGAAATGAATCTACCAATGAAATATATAGTTAGTAAAATAATTAAACATTACATAGCCTCAGTTGTTAGGTGTACTGGACTGCAGATGTTCTCCTCTTTTGGGGAAATATGACTTTATTTCAAAAAAAAAAACCAGTATTAGAGCCAACGCGAACCAGCTTTTTTATTACCCAATTTTCCATAGCGTGCATTAATGATGTTTTCTGTCTGGGTTGTGCATGGGTCCCCCTGGGTACTGTTGCAATTTGTTTGCTGTGAAAGAGCAATTTTCTTAGTGTTTCTTTTTAGTTTGAAATCACGCACGAGGGAAAAACAATCGCAATCAGTACTACAAGTTTTGATCCCCAGGGTGCTGAGGTAACAACCACTTAGCTTAACATGCATCTTAGGGCAAATAATCTTTCCATTTCCTAGTTCCAGGAAACGGTATTCCATCTCAATAATTGCCGTTTTGATTATTTTCAGTGTTCCCTTTACCTGAATGTTAGATGAAAATTGAAAACGAAGAGCGAACTTTGAAGTAATTGACTAAAAGACAAGTAGGCTCCCTTCTCTCTCTCTCTCTCTCTCTCTCTCTCTCTCTCTCTAAAGGCAGAATATAAACTAATGAAACCATTTTTTTCTTGTGAAACGCACACCTTAAAATAAGAATAAAGCTGACGCCAGTTATATTGCTTGTTATTAATATAGAGTGAATGACCTTGCACCTACTTCAATACACAATAGAAAGACATTTTTAAAAACGATCTTTATTTTCACAAACCACGCAAAACTGGTCAATTATTCAGACCAGGGAATATTTTCAGCACCTAATCGGTATCCGATAAGTGGTCCGTTAAGAATTTAAAGAGGGTCGACACTTGTAAGTTGTGATTTTAGTGTCTGGGTCATTTTTCAGTGTTATACCAAGAAGAATTCATGCTAAGTGGTGCAGACCCTTAAAGCTGACCCATTTGAGGAGACAGCTACGTATGGTTTTTAGTGAGTAGTTACTGCGCAGGTTTCACCATGTTATGTTATTGTATATTCCATACATCTACCTAAATACAGTACAAGTATTTGCATTAATCTCATAATATGTAAATTTAATAGGATGTTCGAAAATTATCTGTCTGTTCCGCTTAACCAGGTAAGGGTGAACCGTATATTAGAGACTAGCACTTTTATTTCATCAACACATTTCATGTGCCTTTAATATATTGCTACATGTACATAGGACTTTGATATTTTTATTTATTTATTTATTTATTTATTTATTTATTTTGCCAATAAATCTATCTAATATAGCCAAAAATCGACGCTTCGTATTTTACTACAGTTCGATTCAATTCTGTCCTCACATTCAATAAGGCAAGCTTTTCAGCTGAATTTGGATTGTTTGAAATGTGATCTTTCAGGTAGACAGGCAAGCCTTAATGTTTTATCACGTTAATTAAAACGCAGAATGATACCTAGGTAAATTACATTGCGTGCAGAAATCTTAATATTCCAAGTCCTGTCAACTGCAGTACGTACAGGTTCTTGTCTTCTCATTTCAGACAGATGCTTCCTGGGGAAGATTGCAGCTGTACGTAGACGCCATTATGAGAGAATGATCACTTGAAACAACGGATTTCGATATGGAGTGATATGAGATTTTTGATCACAAAAAAAGATTTACGGAAATACCAGTGCATTTAAAACGATGAAACTTGTCAATATCTTATATATCGGGCTGTGATCATCATCATCATGTCAACAGATCTTCCCGCTGAGGTTCGTCGGGAGAGTCGCCGCAGTATTTCCTTCCCAGTGAACACAATGCTTCAGTCGGCAGTGCAAGATGGCGATGTGGCCGAGCTCGTTAGGCTTCTATGTCACAACGACGAACACGACGCGGTTGACGTCGACGTAAACTTGCCTAACCACATCGGTCTTACGCCGCTGCACCATAGCGTTCTACAGAACAATGCTGATGCCGTGAAACTGTTACTTTGTAACGGCGCTGATGTCAATGCTCAAGATAAAAACGGCTTTACGCCGCTCCACACCGCTGCTGCCGGTGGCTTCTACCTCATTTGCAGCATGCTAATCGCTTTCGGTGCCGACGTGACACTGCTCACTAACGAAGGAGATCTCTGCTTGGATTTGGCCAAAGAAGAAGACATGGTTATTCTACTGACTGATGCCACTCTAGCGCAAATACATAGCCAAATGTATTGGCGTGGTTGGATTGAGCATACATTAAAGCAGTTGTTTAGGATCGTTCAAAGAATCTTGGTTCATTTATTCACCTTATTAAAAACCTATTGGAAAAGAAGAAAGCGGAAACCTGAGAAAAGGGATTAACGCTATTAATTCTGTTTGTTATTTTAGAGAACGAGAACTCGCAGCACACTGACAGCTATTGCTGCTGAATTATTTTTGCGATGTGACATAAAAGAGAAATAGAAAAATAGTAATTACGCCTATCACTGATTTTTTCCTTTTTATACCACTTCATTTAATTCATACAATCCACATATACTGGCAATGTTTTCTGCTCTGGAAGCTAGAATGTTCATGATCATAGCGCATTATGAAATTAATCTCAGACACTTTGCAGTATGCGATAGCCTACCATATCGCAAACGAAAAACGTTTGTTTGATGTTCTCAAGGGTATTTCTTTATCAGTCAGCATCGACCGTTGTATTTTTTCAAACAGTACAGTTTAGACAAACAAAAACGCACATTCTGTCCTCCAAGCATGTGAAGATTTTTATATGAGCATATGGAAAGTGCGCGGCAGAGCAGGTGTTTTATCGAAGGTTATCTCCGGGAATTCGAGTAGTATTCTGGCAGACAGACAATGTGGTGTGTGTGATCCATCAAGGCAAGTACACATAAAAAACTTACTAATGGCCTTGCAAAAGGTAAACTATTTGGCTTCGATCTAACACACGCAGGCCTGAATTAAAGAGAGGGAAAATGTGGGTAGTGGAGAGAACACCTAGCCGGCTGTACACTTAATAATCCAATTTAGTAATCAACTGAAAAAAATATCACGTATTTTTTTTTCTTGTTTTTTTTTTCTTTTTTTTTTTTTTTGTAAGTTGAATGATTTTCACCGTAAACTTCCTAATATCTGTTGCAAATAGAAGATATCAAGAAACATGAAGAAAAGCCCATATGCCAATCTGGCAAATCTTACTTGGTATGTGCGGTTTAGTTTTGAGGGTGGCATCAATTTTTCTGCAGCAGCTCTACGGTGTGCTTACGGACCTAGCTGGCGATTAATAGCCATACAATCTACTTACAATTCACTGACATTCCCGACAGCGCAGTTCAGGTGTTTACGTCAGGTGTTTCTTGCAATGGATCATCTCGTTTTTGGCAAACCGCCTGGATAAAAAAGCTGAACTACTGAACAGTCAATTCTCTTCATAAAATTTTAATGAGCAATAGGAGAAAGAGGACTCAGTTAGAAATGTGTGATAAGTTGTATCTCCAGGGAGAAATGATAAACATATTGTGACACAATCTAAATAAAGAGTAAGAATATGAAGCATTAATCACTGGTCGTTAGTAGGTTTCTTTTCTTTCTTTTTTGTCTTTTTTGACACAATCTAAATAAAGGGTAAGAATATGAAGCATTATTAATCACTGGCCGTTAGTACGTTTTTTTCTTTCTTTTTTGTAGAAATTAATTAAATTGATATATAAATTAAATATTCCTCGAGATTCGGAATACCGGATTTTGCTTGATGACTATGCAGCATGCACACATAGGTAAAAACGTTTTTTACGAAATTGCGTTTTTTATACGCCAGGCATGAAACATGGTAAAAGTAATGAAGTAAGATGCACTTCTTCAGTTCAATCTTGGGAGAAGATCACCTACGCAACGTGATATATCCGATCATTTTGAATGATAGCATGTCTTTTCAAGGATGAATTGCTCATTGGCGGGTGTGGAGCCTATTTTCAGATGTTGCAGGTGGCAAGATCTTGGCAGATCGATAGATGATAAAAAAATATATAACTAACTACCGCAGATTCCAATAATTTTATTCCACAAAAATAAATAAACAAATAAATAGATAAATAAAAGAGAGAGAGAGAGAAAGAAAGAAAGAAAGAAAAGAAAAGAAATAAGGAAAGAAAAATTAGTGCAGAAAGTGAGATTATTCTTTTACCGACATGTCATTGAAAAGAAGCCCAAGATAGTTAATATTCACTGTGAATCTAGTTTAGACTGGCGGCAGATTGCGTTAGGTGGACCAACTGATCGCAACTTTGAAAAACGCAATTTCATCTTTTTCAACACCGATAGTGCCCTGGTAGAGGGACATGAATACTTCTGCTCGACATTTACATCGGTTAGTTTGGAGGTGCCTTATCGTTGCTTAACGTATAAAGTGAAACGCGACGATGCAATCGCTGTGAATAACTAATAAGTTAAATGATGCAGAAGTAATTGAACTGAGACGAATTTCCTGTCTAGTATTAAAAGATAATATCTGCCTTAGATGATCAATCATTCAGATAATCAGTGATCGTCTTATCATGGTGCCTGAAAATGTATACAGAAGTCATCGTGCTTGAACGGTTTGGACCCATATGGATGATAAAATACTAAGACACAATATAAAATGTATATAAAACACCTAGTAAATATGATAAAAAATATATTAAAGGATCAATGAAAAGAACGTGGAAAAATAACGAATGAAAAAATAATTAATCTATGCCAATTTTAGTAAAAGATATAAGTTGCACTGACTTCCCCCAAATTACTCTAGCTGCTGTGTATATGGGTAAGCCTTCAGCAAAAGGATGTTGTAATATTCTTCAAAGAGGTTAAGTGTGTAAGTATAGTAAGCAACATGGGCGATCTGAATGCTGAATTAAGCTCACGACTAAAGCACCCGCAGAGACGATAGTGCCTTCGGCAAAACGATACTTGAAATGTTGCAATATTCTTCAAAGGATTTATGATAGCTAACAGTAACAAAGTTTCAAATACCATAATTGTCATGATTATATTTGGGGTTTATCACGATGCTCTGAAAAATGACTTTGCTGCAATTTGAAATTTGAAGAAAGCTAAATGGGATATTTTGGTGGTATAATAATGATGAGGCTTTAAATGTTTTTGAAAGAAAAGAGAGAGAGAGACTCAGGTGATATTGATAGATTTTAGCTAAAGCTCACAAGACAGGGCGGTTGTACAAGCGCCAGTCGGACGCGTGGAGGCTGATTCTGCGTCTTTATTAGATTACAGTGCACACTCGAAGACTAATCCGCAAGCTTTGGTCTGTATATTGAATCCCCGCTATAACAGCTATCCCATTTACACTAAAAGTGAATAAAAACGTATTTTCATGGCGATGTGTTTTTGTAGATGATGGTTATAAGTGAAGTTGGTGCCGAAGTTTGAATAAAAAAACTCACGGTAAAGCATGAGCGAATTTTGCGAGTTAGATTCACACACATCATTTCGTGTACGTGCACGGCTCCACACAAGGTATAGGTTTATGTATAAGGCTGCACTCCTAAGTCGTGCACATGTCAAACATAGAACATATTTTAATCGAAATAAATTCTCTGGTAGAGATCAGATGTTGTGAACCACATGTGAAACACGGTCCCTACCCCCCCCCCCCCCCGTTTCCCTACGCTGTTTTGCATGCCATTCTTATAATTGCATTATTACTTTCCCTCCATTGTTGTAGAAAAAAACAATCCTAGAAATTTATATGATAACATTCTTACGCTGTTGTTCTCCATTTAAAAATCTTTCAGTCTATTTACCGTTTAATAAGAGCCTAATTGATAAACAAGATATTTTCAGATTTGAAATTTAGATGAAATACTTTTCAACTTTTTATGACATATTTCGTCCCTGGATAAGGCGTGTCATGTGTCTTTTTTAGTACCGGTAAAACGGCTGTCAGGAGATAAAAATCACTTGTTAAGCATGCCCTCATCGCTAATGACTTCATAAAAAATGTGGTGTACGAATTCAGCACCCCACGGTTTGACATCTGCATCTTTCTCTTCTTTGACAATATATCTACTTTTAAACTTATAACTGATTGTCGTATTATGGATATTATACCAGAGACATGGCCAGCAACGCAACAAAACTTGATCAGACCGTTGTTTCTAGCACGGTAACCAAAACAAGGATTTTATTTTGTAAAAGAGCAGTGGCGGTACAAGGCTCAGCTTAGGCAGTTATCATAGACTGGCATCTGCAGGAAAACCCCTGTCTCCGTCTTTTGATAGACCGGTGACACCGCCCCGGGAGCTGACATTTGAAAAGACAACTTTAGACTGATCTGGTGGACCCTCTTTCCGTGATCACCACTGCCGTCATGCCGGGTGACATGCTTCGCTCAGTTCTTATAAAGCTGACTTTGACAGGAACGGCTCCAACTTCATTTTCACCACCTTCTCAGTTCGTCTGTGGACCAGATGGGCAATATTTCCACGTCCGCCGACAGTGTTGTGTAGCAACTTTGAAGTATTGTGTGCGGGGAAACTCTATCCGGGTTTATGACAATATCGGTGCATGGAGAGTGCCTGAGATAAGAACGGCGACATGTGAGAGCGAGAGAGGGGGACCCGTCTTGGCGGCGTGACGCTGCTTGAATGGGGGAAGCACGCAACAAACCCAAATCACTCTAGTGCTTGTCAGTTTTATCAGTCCATTTAGAACGTATTTAAAGAGGAGGGATCCGGAAGGCTGCGTATTCTGTTAAATAGGCCCAATGCAGACACACGCAGAATGAGGTGGGCGCATAAAGGGACCATGGCTCAGTATTGCGGACTAGCGCTCGTGTGTGCGTGCATGCTACAAATGTGCAGCATGGTGGACAGTGCGCGTGATCACGCGCAAACAAAACAGCGTCACAAAGGAAGACAGAACAAAAGAACGTTAGACATATTCCGCACACCAACTTTACAATCGAAAAATCCACTTATTCCAAATCAGCCAAATTTAAGTGTTGGCAGAAAAAAGAAAGGCGGAAAAGAAAATAACTTAATTCGAGGGAGCAGAAAAGCTTTTACAGTGACAACGAAAAATTATTTGAAAAAGGAATGGTGTCAGACAGAACGCCTGCGCCAAGTCATCCGGGAACCGGGCTGTTTGAAACGAGTCATTATAAACAGCTTTTGTTATGGTCAGTGCAATTCGTTTTTTATTCCAAAAAGTGGGAGAAGGAAAGACAGTGGTTTAGATGCTTTCACATCATGTTCATTTTGCCGACCTAAACGATTCTCATGGATTACAGTGACTTTGCGGTGTCCTGGGAGTCGCCCGGCAATCAAGAGAAAACGTATTCTGAAAATCAAGGAATGTCGCTGCATGGCTCAGAAATTACCAGATATAGAATTGGAAACGTGACCAGTCAACTTTGACACCTTATTAAATATTGTGATAAAACGTGTACATAGCTTTGT